TTGTATGAAGTGATAGGCCATGTAACTTTTATACAGCGCTAAGCAGCTGAAAAAAAGGATATGCCACTGAACTAATTCAGAGTAAGACCTCCGCTCTGAAATCGGAGCTGGTCATAAACAACTGCCCAGATATGGGAATACCTCCACTCTTTCCACAACTACCTATCATGCGGAGTTGAGGGGGTGGAGTCCTTGAAGACATACAAAATATCAAGGCAGGTACTGCTTTGATTTATTTGCTAGGGCAAATGGTAAGGCCCTACCTCTTATTGGCACGATCCAGGTTCACCATCAGACTCTCCCACTCCTCGAAGTGAACAGCCATTACGAGATCATCACCAACATCATCAGCACACAGATCATCAGTTGTTCTCTCCTTCCAGATTAAGAAAAACCGTGGGGCATGTTACACGTTAACATTATTGATACATTACGATTCGTAGATCAAAGTAGATTTTAATACAATCAGTCCTTGCTTAGAATGCCCCCGTAGAACACTGATTCGTTACAGTGATAGGTGTGGGGCCAAATGTTCTGGACTGACTTCTACCACCAAGCCAGCTTCACAACATTTGCGCGTTTCTCCGGTTTCCTCCTACGTGCCGAACCCTGATGCTTGAAATTGTCCAAACATCTTAATGCAGCACGGAGCTAATAATGAGTCTCGAGACTCAATGTGGCTCTCCTGGGTACATAAAGGATATTTCTAGATTTGATTATATTTATTCATATGATTCAGCCTAGCAGCTGCACTGCGATGTGCCAGCCTTGCCACTGTGTCATGGTGGTAGTGGTGGTAAAACCGATTCGGAATAATATGTTCAGTACGCGTCGTGATTTTTGTATTTTAAAAGTGTTAATCAAACGAGTTGCAGTGACGTCATGGCCGAGTAAGCAGCAATGACCGCTCCAACCCCTACATTAGAACATTACCTTTTTCGACCCAACATAACCACTCGCTTTCCTGTTTGATAGTTTTCTTATTTTTCTACCTGGCCTCAGGCACTTTATAGGGGGCCTTGGAAAGCTGGTTTTCTACTTTGGAGCTTCCTAGGGCGATCCACAGCCTCCTTAGGTGTAGGGTCCTCAGTAAGCAACTCGAGCCTGACCTCATGGCTAGGCCAAGGGGACCTTCCGTCTGTATCTTTGTGCTCCATGGAAGACAGATCCCCTGGGAAAAAAGCCATAGCTTTGTCTCCCCGCCCCCCCCCCCCCCCCCCCCGTTCAAGTTGACACCAGAGATCCCGGTGGGAGGAACGAGAGCTCTTACAAGCCCTTTTGTAAAAAAACTAAGAGAATACTGCCCTTCTTCGGGTCCTCAACGAGATGTCGAGTAAGGTTTGCAGGAGGGTGAAGATTCAGGAGGCAGCCACATATGACCCTTCAGACTATGCTAGACGAGCAGAGCAGTGCAATGAAGACCTACGAAGCCAGGCTGCTGGAACCTGAGGAGGCTTACATCAGACTGGACTCTAAGGGACGGGAGTGCCAAGTAAACCATACGGCCTCCCGGATGGGGTCGAGGGCAACGCTCCTCAAGATGCTCTATCCTACATTCGGCTACATCTGCTCGAAGCTCCGGCATTCCTCTCTACAACTGGGCCATCACCACCTACACGAGTCGGCGCTGCGCTGTGACCACGGCGTGCCTCCACGCGTGCCTGTCGACGGTCGTCCTCAAGACTGCCCGCATCGAACGCGAGCTCATCTCATTCGTATGGCAATGCTTGCTTCCCGCAGAGCAGACTCTTGTCCACAGCCTCTCTCGCATAGATGTAGCGTAATAAATGCACATCCTATACCGTCGGTATACTTACCTGCAGTTGCGGGCACAAGCCCATAGGGGGTGCCACCCTGAGCTGGGGAAGGACAGAGAGAGCCAGGCCCCAGGTGAGGGGTTGGGGGGTTCTTCCAGAGCCCCCTGGAAGGTTCTAGAGAGGGGGCGGTACCGGGGGCGGAGAGCCCCCGAGAGGTGTATTAAAGGGGCACCTCTGGGACAGCTCGGGGCAGTGCTCCGAAGACGAAGAACAGAAGACCAGCCTAGCTAGGACCCTGGGACCCGACATCCTTATAAGGGTCGGGGCCGAGCGCGGACCAATGGTCAGGACCCGCACCTTGGCTGGGTCGGGTCAGAGTAGCCTCCCTAGCTAGGACCCTGGGACCTCGAGCCCGACGTCCTTGTAAGGGCCGGGCCGAGCTCGGACCAGTGGTCAGGACCCGCACCTTGGCTGGGTCGGGTCAGTTAGCCTCCCCTAGGGCACAGATAGCCAGAGGGCTGAGAGCCAGGTTTGATCAGTGCGAGGGCACGCTAGCCCAGAGGCTGTACCTCCCTAGATAGTGGGAGTTAAGGGGAGTTCTGTTCATAGTTACAAATAAACCGTGTTGCGTCTAAAGACGTCTCCAGTCTCCGTTCCGTGGAACCCACTACATATATATGTATTTTTATATTTTGACCACTGTGTGATAAACACGTTGCCTGCGTGCGGCGACGCTGGATGCTTTTCCCTCTTCCTTTTCCTCATCCCTTCACAGAATGAACACGGTAACGCGGTCATGCACCTCGGGGGGGGGGGGGGGGGTTCAGACATTTGTGACGATGTGTGACGAGGGGGAGGGGGGGGGTTTGAGAAATGTGATGTCACATCAAAATGCGCAACTTTAAGTATAGAATTGTTATAACACTAATTGTTATAACACTCCTACAACATCAGTGCAGCGCCATGCACTACAATGACAATAGTTGAAGCATTGTTTTATTTTCAAAATGGAAATATGGTTTTGGGGGGTTGGCAGCGCTTTGTGACGTCATATTTGAGGGGGGGTCTGACTTTTTGTGACGCCGAGTGACGAGAGGTCAAAAATTGCGTGACGTCATTTATGGACGGCCCCTCAAGTGAATGGCAAAATTGGTTTCGATTTACGTTTCACTTACCGTCGTGTTTTTCAATGTACTAAATCGAGAACTTCAGTGCTTGGGGGATTTTGGAGCTGGCTCACCGCCTGGGCTGCTGCTGCCTTCCCACTCGGCTGTGGTTGCTCGAACCTCCGAGTCGTTCATAGCTCGTGGCTTCTAATATCGGAAGGAAGCGGTGATCGTCTTTGTTCGATGGCCAAGAGCTGCTGCTGCGAGGATGACCGGAGTTTGCGTGATTATCGTTTATGCTCCTGGACACGAGATCAGCAAGGTGTGATGTTTCATTTGTGGGAGTTGCACCGCCTGTACGCGATCAACCGTCGACGCGCCCACCCGGGCCCCACGTTTGCTGTGAGGCACCATGAGGGCCTCCCCGACGGCCAGGGCCTCCGCACGGTCGGTGTGGACAGAGGCCGGCGTTCGACTGGTGGTTTGAAAAGAACACGGACAAACATTCAAGCTCACGCTTTTGCTTTGGCAACAATTTTCGTTAATTGGGCTCCGAGCGGCTCAACAAGCCTGGAAGCCGGCGCGTTTAATCACCTCCGAGATCGAAATGTGGCAAATCGCATGCTAATTAGGAGCAAGTTGGCCCAAGGATTGAGAATCAAATTTGCATGTGAAACGGCGGTGCAGGACTCGATTCGAAGGCAAGTGAATACTGCGCAGTGGTGCATTGCAAGTGGACATTATTATCATCCAACAGTGACCAGCATGGTGAAGTATGGTCAAACTAAACCTGACATCCAACATCACGTGGCGAGATGTTCATCCAGCAGTGGAAAACGTAACTTAAAGTAACCAAAATAACAGAAGATGCATGGAAAATAAATCGGTTTAATTTTGTATATAAACGCGTATAACTCATGTGTACATGCTTGTAAATATACGATTCAGCTAAAAAATGTTAAACACATTTACACAAAGTCGCAAAGACATCAACTCGCTTAAATCTTTACCATTACTCCAGGAGCTCAGAATTATTGCCCAAGTACTGTATATACGTGAGCAAAGTTACGACCATTTACGAAAAAATTTGAAAACGTGTCAATATTTTGTCAGAAATTATCTTTGCACGTCTAAAGGACAAGAGAAGCTGTAACGAAATGCGCATTTGTAAACGATTAAACCTTAAAATTTTCTGACACCGACATTTTTTCCAAAAACATTCCTTGTGTAATTGCACAGAGTCCGATGAGGGGTGGGGCAGCTGTGTAAAAAAACCTGCGGTGAAATTCTCCGTTAAACCGACGATTTAAACAGCAACAGCTCGGGGAATTTTATACTCTGTTCTATGCAGCTGACCGCTGCCCCTTCATACAGTAAATGGCATCCTCACAAGAATAAGTAACCTAACATCCCTTGCAGGGAATCCTCTCGCGATAAAAAATCTTCCATTTGCCATCCATCACGAGACCCCTGCGGGTGTCACCGTGCACAATCATACTTCGACGCTCTTGCTCGGATTCCCCAGAGCTTTGCCCTCCGAGTGGCCACCCTAATGGCCCACTCCGACAGGCCAAACCTGGAACAATTGTAGGTTTTCAACTATAATACACGTTTTATGGGTTAGATCGTTTAAATATATAAATGTGTTGTTAAACCCACCACCACCCGACAGCCAATTAGTAAGGTTTGTCACATAAACAGAACATGTCAATTCGTTACTAGTACAGTCCACCAGTGTGTTGGAGAGCAAAGCCACACCATTTACAATCTAAGTACAACATTTCGCCAGCACTAACTAGCTTCATCAGGCGACAGCCATCACTTGTGAGCACTTCTTTCGCGAATTGGGAGGGGAATCAATGAATGCATATGACTATGGGTATCCATTGCCGATTGGGTTATTTATATGTTAATCAACACACATTATGCATGCGCATTAAGGAACGAGGATTCTCCACGAATCTGGCTGTCGCCTGATGAAGCTGGTTGTAATTACTGGTGAAACATTGTACTCAGATTGTAAATGTTGTGGCTTTGCTCTCCAAGACACCGGTGTGATGTTACTAGTAACGAATTGGCACGTTCTGTTAATGTGACAAACCTTTCGAATTGGCTGTGTCGGGTGGTGGCGGGTTTACCGACATTTAAATATTTATTACGCGATCTAACCCAAAAAACCAGTGTTATGGATATTGGTCGCGAAAGCCTACGTCTTAAACTGGTTTTCAACTGTTAGATCAGTGGTAGCCGATATGTGAATCGCGATCCATGTGTGGATGATCGCAAAAGATTTTGATTGTGGATCTCGGGACAAATAGGAATAAACACCTCTAATATAAAGCAATTCTTGTTATAGCAGATGGCAAAACAAAATCCCCGATTAAGAATTAATGGATAAATAATATATATTTTAAACCAATAGATCGCACTAGCACTTGGCATGTCTACAGTGTTCTATTAGTCGGTTAAATCCATCCGGGTAACTGTTGGTCATATATTGCTGGTAGATCACGGAACATGTTGAGATATACCAGAATGGATCACAGTGCTTTGTGGGTTGGACACTGCTGCGTTAGTCAATAAACACCACCGATTCAGTAACCCATATTTTTGTGAAATCACCTTCATCACAAGGGGGTCAGTGTCTTGGCTGGCAAAGAAGTGAGGCATAAGATATCCTAAACCTTTCATACATCTTGACGCGTATACACCTTAATTGGCTGATTGTACTGGTTGGCAAGGTAAAAATTCTAAATAAAAAAAAAAATTGCGCTACCATTTGAACCGCTGCGACAGGAGAACGAAGAACCGGTGACCTCTGGATTGCAAATTCAGAGTCCAAACCGTCTGTTACTTCAGGGTAGCATTTCTCATAACCGCCACTGCTTTTTTTTCAATTGTTCACCTCTGCTTGCGAGCAAAATGTACACTTAATTAACTCTGCAGATGTAAAACCCAGAGTGTGTGCCCACTCATGCACCTCCTCCGACATCTTGTTGACACCGCATCCACGATACACTAGTGCTGTCTGGGTTTCTTAGGCCGGGGAGAAGGCGAGCCCCATGGGGTGGACTCCACAGGGTTGTAGCCTGGAATCTGTGACAGCGGACACACAAATGGCACAAACGTACAACACCGCGAGCTGAAAACCAGGCATGAGAAGCCGATGGCTGCAATGACCAAACCAACCGAGGGATCGTGATGTGCGGGCCAGCCAAGGAATTTTAAAGCCTTATTTGGCCATCATTAAGGAGTAGATGCAACCCCCCTTAGGTTATATGGAGTGTACAATTGCAGTTAAGAACATACCTAAAATATGGCTGCAAATGTTGACCCTTTTGAGCTTCTGGTCCAAATTAGGCTGTGTGCATTATCCACGCAGAGTGACAATGTAATGCGGCATACAAGGCATGCTGGAAAGGACCAGATCCACTGGTCACAAATGTGCTTTTTGCCATCTAGAGATCATTTTTTGCATCAACTACTATTTCCCTCATTTGTTTTTATTCTACAAGTACTTTTCTGCCCTTCGAGTTTCTCATTGTTTACAGAAAGCATTAAATTTTCTCTATAATTCTTCCGGATCTGAGGGATTTTACAGTATTTTTAATGTGATGTCCTCTCCGTGACAATACGGGCTCCGTCATGGCAGTTATTTCCAAAGCACATTTAATTGTGACCGTTTTATATTTGAAACGCATTTACATCATTTAATTCAGTTTCAGTTTATTTTGGTATAGCCCTGTGAGCCATCCGACTCTAATGTATCCACCGGTGTAACTTCCTCTGTAATAGTCCACACTGCCAAATGGCAAAAAAACGGAGCTTCGTATCTCACTGCGTTCTTCCACCTTAAACCAAGTGTCTGTGTGTCTGATAGAAACCTAATCGTACAGAGATGGTCAGGGGGCTTGGGTCCCAGTGCATTAAGCCAGTCCTGGGTTTAAATGCAGAATTCAGCCGTTCGGGAAATGCCAATGCCTCCCGGTTAAGTGAACACATGCCCTACCTCCTCGTCGAAGGTAACGTTGAGCTTGAGATCTTTGGAGTCAAAGAAAACCGTCCCCTCCAAGCCGTACTTGGGAATGAGCACCACCACGGCGTTCTTGCGCACAAACAGCACGAAGCCCTCTTCGCTCACCACTCCCTTGCTCTTGAAGAACAACTGAGACCACAACAACAGCAGCCGTTAATCACCGCTACGTGGCCAAGAGCAGACACACGCGCATCACTTACCAAGCCCATAATTACTTAACAAAATTTAAGGTATTTTTCTGCATCCCCCCGCTAATTTATTCCAGTTGTGCTATTGGCATCATGTCATGGGGATTAGTTTGAGTTCAATCGTGAAGGTACAATGTCAATTGTATTGACTATAATCCTCCATCACCTGACAGAGCCAATCAAATAAAGTTGTCACATCATGGGCAAATGTGCCAAGTGACTAGGTTTTTCAGCAAACACAGAAGAATGCTGAAAAGCAATGTCAAGTGTAGCCAACCAGTACAGCCACGGCACCACCACACGTAAGCGTGCGAATAGAAAACAATTGATTCTTACTACACGCACAATACGATGCCTGCTTTCGTGACCTTAAAAATGGTTTTCAAGAGACGAATGGACACATTATCAGGTGCCTAAGCACAAGCCGTGCAAGCTCCACGTGGCCGACACTTCCGCCTCCCACCTGCGTGTGGAAAGCTACAGACGAGCGTTGGGCGTACTGCGCCATATTGTGGCGGTAGTTGAGATTGTTGCAGAGCTGCTGCTGCTTCTGCTTGTCGGTGAGCGCCGGGTACGTGGGGTCGGCGCCCACGCACACGGTCAGCAGCCGGTGCACAATCACATCCGAGTATCTGTAACTGTACAGGGAGACAACAACAATATTCACATTTGTTGTAGCCTCTATTTAATATGAAGATTAAATTTACAGTAGATACAGGCTGCGGTATGGCCACGAGATGCCAACGGAGCAGCGGTATTAATCCACCAAGCACCGCGATTCATTCTGGTGGATCTCAGCGGGTTTCACGATCCACCAGAAAGCTACGCAAACAATGACTCAGATGGATTTAACGCTGTGATAGAATACTGTACTCTGGACATACCACGTTCTAGCACCATCTGCTGGTGGAAATTATCTTTGTTAATGTATGAATTTAATTCTTTGTTGAGGATTTTTAATTTGTCATCAGATGTAATGCAAATTGCTGCCTGCTCATATCTGTGTTCTTATTTAAGATCCACAACAAAATCGTTAGCGATCCATGGCAGAATTGCAATTCACTTTTGGCCGCCGCTACAACACGGCAATGGATTCTTGATTCTGCACGTGGAACACTGTCACCGTCCTTGTAGGCGTTGGTGTTCTCCCGATCCTCTAGTTTTTCTCCAACACAAGCCAAACAACCATTTAAGGAATTGGCCAAACTTCCCGTTTATAGGACCTTTTAGAAAAATAAGTCAAAATCTGAATCTTTATCCTGGAGAAATCCGATTCGTGATAAAAGCTCTTTTTGACAGATGTCCAGTTGGTAGATGATAGAGAGTGCTAAGAATAGGAAAGGTAAACAAATCACTAAAAGTAAATAATAGAAAAAAGATATACAAGTACGTAGCCAATCGTGCTAATCGGAGGTGTGCCATAATGACAAATTAACATTGCATAAGTACATCAATTAATGAATAAATTCCTAAACTTGGGAAAGGCAGCACAGTCCCAGACCACACCAAGACAACAACATAGTCCCCTCAATAATCGCGAAGGTCGATTTCACGCGTGTGCCTGACGCCAGAGCACGTCACCGTCGAATGGGCGACGTGAAGTGGGTGTAGATGGCGGTGGCGAGCCCGTAGTGGTGGGTGTCGGGCTCCATGCCGGAGCAGAAGTAGATGGCCTGCATCATGCAGCGCGTGGCCAGGATGCGCAGCAGAGTGTTGAGGTATGGTGGCGCTCCCGGCACCGCCGCCCGGTCCAGGGACTCGGCCAACGCCTTAGCTGAATCCACCTGGATCTCGATGTTCTGCGCAAAAAAATCGGGCACACCGGCGTTTGTGAGGTGACTATCCCACACGTGGCTTGTAGTTCAGTGCTGGGGAAGCAGCAAGGGTTGTGGTGTATTGGAAAGAAAACGTTATTCAGCGCACTTCCTGTAGGCATTCAGGTTTCCATAACCTGGCTTGCCAGGAGAAGGCAGTACAGCAAGTGGATTAATCTACATCTGGCACAGTGCCTGGCTGCCTTCCAGCGTTGTCTGTGGTTCGTCACAGCTTTTGAGTTGTTCTGCCTCTAAGGGCGAGTGGAAACTATACGGCTACATCTCAAGATAAAGGTAAAAGGTGCAGCCCTGCAACTGCTCGCTCAGGCCAATACTGACATCGTTTCAAGACACCTCTGCTTCACAGTAGGGGGTAGCACATTCCCACCCATCTTGAGCATAATGTTCATCACAATAAGTCGACCTGATATTTAAACATTTCAGTGCTGGAATTTATCTAAAATTAAATACAGTACTACATTTATCGTGATGGTTTTTTGTTGCTTATTTCTGTGGAGTAGCTGGGAAACGAGCCGAGTCCTTCAACTCCCTACACTTGATAACACAGTATGTTCAATGCGGCTGCTGGATTTTGAAGCCAGGGTCCCAGCTGTAATCTCTGGGTCATAGGGTGACCCAGGTGACCCTTGCAAATGAGACTATTATGGTCTCTTGAGTTCTCACCCGGTTAAACCAAAAGACCTCAAACAAAAATTTGAGCCACACGGCGACCTCTGAATTCCTTGCGAGGAGGATGATATTGAAGGAAGGTTAACAGCAATCTAGAGACAGTAGAACCCCTCTTAAAGACGGTATTTGGTTCCACGAACACGAGCATTAAAGGATTTGGTCATTAAGCGAGTATAGGAAATACGTGTTAAAAGCTTAATTCGTTCTGATAGCATCGAAAGTTTCCCTTGTTCACCCAACAAACGTACTTTCTAATATTTAAACAATGGATATTAATACATAAAGATACTAACATTATAAACACATCATATTAAAATAAACACTGTTAATAAATGCATTAATTCATTTTGATTTAAAGCTTTAGTGACTGCAGGGATTCATATTCTTGGTTCTTTCGGTAAATTCACGTAGAAGGGAAACAATAAAATAATAAAAATATAAAACAATAAAATTCTCACGACGTTTCGACTGCAACACAAGCAATCATCATCAGGTGTGAAAACCACAACAAGAAAATTTGAAAAAAGTGGCAGTTATTTTTAACGTTAGCACCACGGAGAGAGATTTGATAAACCATTTCGGGTCTTAATTGATTGATCACGCTTAAGGTGGCTTTCAGACCGCATCCATTATTTTTCGTCTCCCCCCTCCTCTTTTCCGAACATAGATGGACTCGTCCATCTGAACAAACTGTCAAATCATTGTGGTGGAAAATGAGGGAGAGCAAAAGACGGAGGTGGAGGAGGAAGAGAATACAGAGGAGGAGGATGAGGAGACAGATGAAGAGACAGATGAGGAGACAGATGAAGAGACAGATGAGGAGACGGAGGATACAGAGGAGGAGACGGAGGAGGAGACAGAGGAGGAGACGGACGAGGAGACGGACGACGAGATGGACAAGGGGGGAAATATGATGGAGGAAGAGAAGATGGTGGTGGAGGAGATGATGGTGCAGAAGGTTGAGAAGTTAGAAGAGAATGAGGTGAAGGTGAAGATGGACGAGGAAAAGATGAAGGTGGAGGAGGAAGAGAATACGGAGGAGCAGGATGAGGAGACAGATGAAGAGATGGAGGATACGGAGGAGGAGACAGAGGAAGAGACGGAGGAGGAGACGGAGGAGACGGAGGAGGAGACGGAGGAGGAGACAGAGGAGGAGACGGACGAGGAGATGGACGAGGAGATGGATAAGGGGGGAAATATGATGCAGGAAGAGAAGATGGTGGTGGAGGAGATGATGGTGCAGGAGGTTGAGAAGTTAGAAGAGAATGAGGTGAAGGTGAAGATGGGAGATGAAAAGATGGATGTGGAGGAGGAAGAGGATACGGAGGAGGATACGGAGGAGGATACGGAGGAGGAGATGGAGGAGGAGATGGAGGAGGAGGAGGAGGCGCCGGAGGAGGAGCCGGAGGAAGGTGAGGATGAGGAGATGGATAAGGGGGAAAATATGGTGGTGGAGGAGATGATGGTGCAGGTGTTTGAGAAGTTGGAGGAGGAAAAGGACATGAAGGAAATGAATAAGAAGCGAGGGTGCATGGCTCGTGTGGGGAGAGCAATACGCTCACTCCTGCACCGCGTGCTACTGTGCGGTGGCCGGTCCACCCCACAGTAGGGATGGTAGTGGTCGTGGTCGTGCATCGGTGTAAACCACGACTGCTATCACCACACCACCCACCCTCCCCCCGTGATACACATTTTTAGTCTATTGGTGTACATATTTCCTTGGATACAATGCATTTAATAAACCGCCCTAATTTATTCATATTTTTGTTCAGAGTTACATTATTGTTTTACTTGTGGTGTGGTCAGTGGATATTGTTCGGTGAATCAAACCGAGACAAGGATTTATTGGAAAATCTGTGGCTGCTGATTCTCTGCTGGCTGGAGACTGCAAACTCACCCAGAAGCCAGGCCACAAGGACTTGGGCTCAGTGTTAGCGGCAGTAACAACCGACTTGCTTTAAATATTGCTCCAGAAGAGCACCATCCTACTTTGGCTCTTCGAATGGTGCAGGTTTTAAAAAGACAACTGAATGTGTGCTGTCTTGTGTGAAGTATGGCAACAGTTTCCGACAATGCCTGTGTATACAGAGAACGTCATGACACATCCAGATTGGGTTCCTTTGAGCTTGGTGCAACCGTGTACAGTTATTGACTATTGAGAAATGCAACATTTGTCATCATCGCGTACGGTGATTAAGTATAATATGCTGGCAAATCTCTCCTTAATGTCGTACATGTTTTTCCGAACTGTGAAAAATGTATGATTGAATGTTGCCTTCATGTGCAGATGGCAATATTTGTTTCTGGTTCTGGTCCAACAGTGACCGCTATTGGATGCTGTGTGCAAAAAACGTGTTATGGGAGCCAATAGTGGTTTGGATAACAAACATTGCATCGTTTAAATCCAGGAAATCACTGTGTGGGTTTCTCAGTGTTGATAATGGTTTCAAATGAACCACACATTGCAACAGCGCATTCCAAATGGTGTCGAATGCACCGCCTGTAATCTGGTTGGTAAGAAACACGTTTGGTTTTAAATGGACAGAACTCGACCTTCTGCATTATTCTTCATTATGGACCCCGATTTGTAAGCATTAATCATGCAAACCTTGCACCTGATTTATTTGAGTCGCTGTGCTCACGAGCAACAGGGCTTTTGTGGCGAGGTTTGAATGTACCCCCGGTTAGCACGGTTGGCTATGTACGCTGCAAAATAAGTTTAACAAACATAAGTTGTAGAAAACGTGTGACTGCACGCACTGGACCGCATGATGGTGTTAAGCGAGCCGACCCGATGAAACAAATAATTTCAGGGAATCAAATAGCAAGTGTGCAATCTCCCTTCTGGTGGGCATCAAGGATGAGCCATACCCTGGCTTGCCAGAAGAAGGCAGTACAACAAAACTGTGGAATATACCTGTTCCATTTGCGTCGGACAGAATGTTGCCCCCTGCTCACATACGCGGGACATTTGCAGCAACTCATTAAGTGGCTGCAAATATATAAGTATACAAATATATAAATACATACAGTAAAATCTTGGATTGTAAACATAATTCGCTCCGGAAACGTGTTTGTAATCCAAAGCACTCGTATATCAGTTGTGATCACGTGACGCTCGCCAGACAAAGCGTATACGTACACCACTCGTATTGCAAGACCTCGCTCGTTTATCAAATTAATATTGAATTACAATTTTTGCTCGTCTTGCAAAACACTCGCAGACCAAGTTACTCGCAATCCAAGGTCTTACTGTATAGCGAAGCGCAGAGCTTGGGGGATTGTTGGTAGTGCCGGTTCACCGCCTGGCTGCTGTCTTCCCGCGAATCGGTGGAGGAACTGATTTAGATTCATCTTCTCTACTTAACATAATTCCTATCTACACAAAGCAATCACCTCAGGGTGATATTCCACTACATAAATAAGGAATGTACATAACCAATACAGAAGACAATGAGCACAGCTGTGCATACACGTACACACATATACACGATTCCTGCTGTGGGGTGGAACGATTCACCACTGAATTGTTACGATTCAGGATCATGAATGCAAAATATCTCCCGATCTCAAACCCGAGTACGATTTCAAAAGTCTAAGAGCGCCTTTGTCTGGAGCAATTACTGCCCCATGTCACTTCGACGGGCAGATTCAACCCATTGCAGTCAGCATACCGGAAGTTCCACAGCACTCAGACGGCTCTACTAAAGATCACCAATGACCTCTACAAGATCATGGATGATCTCTACAAGATCATGGATGACCGGTGCGCCAGTGTTGATTTGCCTCGATCTCTCAGCCGCCTTCGATACCATCAACCATAAGATACTCATCAAGTGGCTAAGGTCAAGGATTAGTGTATCGGGTACGGCACTGGGTTCGGCCCTATTTCTCGTTTAGTCCCATATCCCAGCTGGATGTACTGCATCAGCTCGCATCAATGAAGACATGGTCATCCACGGGAGAAGACGAGTTACATGGGTTTGCACTTGTGTCTGTGGCAGATCTCATCTATAAACCCCTCACATATGTTTTACTTCTCACTCACCAAAGGTACATTACCGACCAAGTAGAAATATTATCTTCTTCGTGAAGTGCATGAAAATGGTTCCAAAAAAGATCCTAATACTCTTTGGTTATTTTGGTAAAGTCACGTAGATAGAAAAAAATAATAACTAATAAATCACGACGTTTCAATAGCAACACAAGCCATCGTCCTCAGGTGAAAAAATTATAAACAGCAGGCGGACTTCTGAGGAGGAAATGTAGCGAGAGAGCGACTGCAACCAAGGGTTATATACGTAGAGTAAGTGGGCGAGGCGAGGGATGGAATGTGCAAGTAGTGAGTGTTGGCTAATCCGAAGAGGGGGAGGGGGGAGCTGTCACAACGGGTGAAACAAAGGGTGGAGGTGAAATTTACAGAGGGAAAAATTGCTAGAGAGAAAATAAAAATATATCAAACTTGGCAAACTTAGAAATGTAATGCAACTCAAAGAGTCGGCCAACACAACAGTCAACACCACACCTGGTTGATCAACATCCTTCCAAAGATCGCTAAATTTTGCATCCATCTTCTCGGTTGAAGTCATGTCTGACAACCCAAGGGTAAGTGGGCGGGAATAGGGATGGAATTTGTAAGTAAATGTAACGGCAGAGAGGGGTGAGCGTCGGCTAATCAGAGGAGGGGGAGGGGGGAGCTGTCGCAACGGGCGGGAGGGTGGGGGTGAGTGGTTGAGTGAGTGACTGAGTAAGTAGCTGAGTGGCTGAGTGAGTGGTTGAGAGAAAGGTTGAGTGAGTGAGTGAGTGGATGAGTGTGTGAGTGAGTGGATAAGTGCGTGGCTGAGTGTGTGAGTGGTTGAGTGAGTGGCTGAGTGAGTGGCTCAACTGCCTCTCCCCTCTCATCCCACTGTACTCCCCTCCACACACACTCACCTGTCTCTCCCCTCTCATCACACTCAAGGCAACACTTACCTACCTCTCCCCTCTCTTCCCACTCTACTCCCCTCGACAAACACACTTGTCTCTCCCCTCACTCTAAAACCCTCCACACACTATCCTGCTTCTCTCTCGTCTCTTCGAACACTACTCCCCTCCACAAACTCAATTGTCTCTCCCTTCTCATCTCACTCACAGCCACATGTACCTGTCTCTTCCCTCATTTCACTGTACTCCCCTCCACACAATCAACTGCCTCTCCTCTCTCACATGACTGTGACATCACAGACTGGAGACAACTACGTCAGCAGCCAGGGCCTGACCTGAATGAAATGCAACTCCTAATATTTAGGGCACAATTGTCCCAGAAATAGGAAAACGATGATGGTGAACATT